CATGGGGAATTGTACCGAATGTCCTCATGTCTGCAGGTTCCACACCACATGCACGCAGTGCACACACACATGTATACTATATGTGTTACATATGTTGCAGTTAGTCAAAGTACTGTAAAACGATAAGGAAGAAAAAACACGATAACGCCAAAAGTGGTAAGGCAAAAGGATAGGAGGTTTTTATACAACCTCACGTGCTTATGGAAGTCGATGGTATCCAGCAAGGAAAGGGTTTGTAGAGGTTGAGGCTTTACAGGGCCGAAGCAGCCGCGGTGGCGCCCGCAGTAAAGGCTCAAGTCATCGAGAGCGATGAGGGCGACCCAGGCGGTCCCATGCCTTCCGTGCGGGCACAAAATGCACGAGGCTGCCAGCGCCAGCATAGTGAGCGCTAGGCCTTCCGCGCGGGCTGTAAGTGCGCGAGGTGCTGCGCAGCACTCAGCGGGTCTGTCCCGTGCCCGCTTGGGCGCCCCTAGGGTGGCACTTGATGCCTCGGAAGAGTTGAGACGCGGAACAGGTTGGGGAGCGGAGCGCGGGTTGCTAGCGGTAGGGGAGCCCCCGCGAAGAGGCGCAGGTGTGGCAAGTCCAGCCGTCAACAAGGCTTGTTCGAGTGGTACGTACGCGGAGGACCAACGACGGGCGGAGCGAAAGATGCGGCATAGCCTGGGTACCCTGGCGCGATCTTACTTGACCCCGTGCGCCATTGTGCCACAGGTTTCTCATGCTTTTTCAGTAGGCATCTGGATCTTGGTGATCCCAGAAGAGTTCAGTCAAAATGGTCAGAGGTCTAGCTTGCGGTTTCTCCAGTCAAATTCTCTACCAAATCGTTACGTCGTTGGACTTCAAGAAGTCCCACACAAGGGACCCACCGACCAAGCTTGTTCACCCTCAAGTGACCGAATGAGGAGGTAACAAAACATTCTTCCAGAACAAGAACCCGGTAACTACACCAACGGAAAACATCAACTACAACCATTAAACGGAACAATCATCTTGAAACCGGTCATCTAAACATTAGTCCACCAGTCATAATATGTGTTGAAGTCCTCATGTGGTTCGTTGCCCTCTGATCCCCGATGTCCCATTAGTTCTTTCTCTTCGTTTTTCGTGGTCAAGTCAGGAAATATGCTAAATGACCACCGTCTTCCGCCGTCCTTCGTTTCTGACATCGCCATCGGAAGTCCTTTGAACACCGTAATGGAAAAGAATCGGATACGACTTCCAACAACAATCCTGTGCATTTCTGTCAATGTCTGCAATTCCGCACGCCTCTGTCGCCGCTGCCTGTCTGCGAAAGCCTCAGCGAACATCGCGCAGATCTGCGCCCCGCGGGGGCAGCATCCAGCAGCCAAGTTCATATGAACCGTCTAGTCCAGGCATTCCAAATCACACTCTGGCACCTCACAGGAAGTCCAACAGAATAATTTCCCTCTCGCCCCCGCTTGCCAATTGCAGCTTCATGGAGAACAACATAGCTTGCCCAAACTGCAACTGCCACCCCGCCGTCCCACTCTCTCGCAGCTATCGGACCTTCCATGCGGCCGACGGCGTCTGCTTGCCGCGGACCTGAAGGTCGTTACTGCCGAAATGCTTCCGCCAGCAGGTATCACAACGTGCTTCGATGTATCTGCCCTTGCGCCAAACAGCTGTTTAACACCTTCTTGCCCTAAATGCCGGTCCAATATCATTTCACTAAATGTATGGACTATACACAAATAGTATGACTACATGCCTGCACGTTCGTCTTCGCCTGTCCATTGCTTACAGAAAGCATCAGAAAACTAGGAGCCAATCCCCAGTAGCAGTGAATAGGGCCGCATGTCCCGCATGGTAAACCCTGTTTTGGCAAGGACTGCTGCCCAAGCGGCCCTTTGGAGCGACCAGGGCCATACCCAGACGGGCCTAGCACCCCTCCTGGGATTGGTCAGCACTCCTGTCTCAACCTCAGCGTCCATAGCCCGAATGTAAACAAGAGCTTGCCCACTTTTGGTACAAAAAATCTTCTATACTGGTTTGCAAGGAATCAGCAATCATCTTCAGATTCTTCTTCGGAGCTCCAAGCAGATGCTATGGGCAGAGTTCACTCCGGTCGAACCACTATGATGACGATCCTGGACATCACACTCGCCCTGCGCCACCACCGCCTGTGATATGTGCGAAGAGGCGCGCACTTGAGGACTTGCAACAACTTGCAACAGCTCCTTTGCACGGTGCGCAAGCCCCATGGTGGCGTCCTGAGCAATCAAATAGGAGGTGGTTTCGTGCAGTCTTGGTCTTTAACATACCGAAGTCGAAACACCAAAATCTCTGATAAATGTAAGACAAGAAGGTCATATATACGTTCAAAGACATCTTGCAAAATAAGCGACGCATCGCTAAATATATTTCGTCATCATTTCAGCCAGCTACTTCGAAAACGGTTCGACATTCAAACTGATTTGTCACCGCTAAGTTTCTGAACATCGCAAACCTGTCCAGGAACGTGAACACATTGGAAAAGTAAACAAATGAAACCACGTTGCAGGCCACGTACGCAGATGCGTGATCAGCAAATACCCGGGTGCGCTCGTTGGCAGGCACGCAGATGCGTGATCAGCAAATCTGGGGGGTAAATTCTCTCCGCTTTTGTATGCCCTCAGTCGGAAAGAGGGGTAAGCATTTCTGACATCATACGGACTGTACATACACTAGGTCGTCCGTAGTGTCGGAGACGCACCGGTAAAAGGTATATGGAATAGAGTGTCTTGAGGACATAGCCTGTTTGTGGTTATTGCCAATGTTGGGGGGAAATTTACCCCCCGCTATGTATGCCTTGAGCCGGAACGAGGGATAAGCATCACTTGAAGCCAGGGGGAGCAGGTCGAACGCTAGCCGAGTCGCACCGGATGTACTAGTTACATAGTCGGCAAAGCGTGTAGGGATTACATGTTTTGGGAGGCAGCTTGCTATGTACATACTTGGCGCTAGAGAATGTAAATGCGACATCGCTCACTGGGCAGGGTACATTGGAACAACCCGGGTGCACTCGTTGGCAAGCATGAACATGCGTGCTCCGCAAATCGGGGGGGAAATTTACCCGCCGCTTTTGTATGCCTTGAGTCGGAAAGAGGGGTATAAGCATTTCTGACCTCATACGGACTGCGCATACACTAGGGCGTCCGTAGTGTAGGCTAAGCACTGGTAAAAGGTATAAGGAGTGGAGTGTCTTGAGGAAATAGCCGGCTTATGGTTACGGCAAATCTGGGGGGTCGATTTACCCCCTGCTTATCTATGCCTTCAGCCGGAACGAGGGGTAAGCATCACAAGGACTGTGCATACACTAGGGCGTCCGTAGTGTAGGATAAGCACTGGTAAAAGGTGTCAAGAATAGAGTGTCTTGAGGAAATAGCCGGTGTATGGTTATAGCAGCGCCGCCGGCAGCAAGCACCACCAGTGTGATATGTCAAGGTTTCAGGCACACAGCTCATCTCAGCTTTCCTGACAAGGACTGTGCATACACTGGCGCGTCCGTAGTGTAGCCTAAGCCCGGGTAAAAGGAATCAAGAATACAGAGTCTTGAGCACATAGCCGGTGTATGCTTATAGCAATCCCTGTCCGGCTTCTGGTCTTCCAGCTCCTCCCCCAAGAAAAGGGGTCGGCGGCACCAGGGCGGAGCCCTTACTATATACACATCCATATGACCTACTCAATGAGGCTTTCCAAATCGACGCTGGGGACTGGACACTGGACTGGCTTTCCCAGGCGTCGGACACGACGCGACGTCGCGGATTGGGCCTTTCTCCCCTCGGCCACGGCGTTGAAACCCGGCACATCCCTGACGGCGTCTGGATCGTTCACGGGCGAAAGCTGTGTGCCGGTATACCAAAAGGGAAACACCAAAAAGGAAACCCAAGAGCCACTCAAGAGTTGAAGTCCTGGTCTCCGAAACACATGTGTCACATGTTCCTATCATGCAATGTTCATCTTAAACGTTTAATATTCAACATCCCATTTAGTTGGAGGTCGAGAGGTCAGCTCAGTTCGCCTACCCGACAATAGACGTCAAAAGCTCTTTATAGCAGGAAAATGCAGGAATCGAGTGGGTTTCTGCAGTGTTGGCCAAGAAGACTTCACATTTCTCATTGAGCAGGCTATGGGCTTTGCAGCAGCAATGTGCTACCCTCTTAGTAGGCGTTCAAGAGCGTCTAAGGGTTGAGGAACGCACAACCGTTTCGGACGAAGATCATCGGCAGTCAAACAAACTCTGGACTTTGTCACTTTGTCGCATTACTGATTGCGGCCAAGATTCTGACAGCCAAGGATCATGAAACGCCTAGAGTCCAGCGGATACAAGCAAACGCTGTATTTATGTCAACCCACGGCGTTTTAAATCAACCCAACTGCATGGAACTACGTTCTGGCTAAGTTGACCCGCGCGTTTTAAGTCAACTCTGATTTTCCGAAGCACAGTGGGCACACTACTGGGATAACATCGTTTCAACTTCAACTTATGCAAAAACTTGCAAACCGTCCACACACTGCGCACGCAAATGCTGAACAAAAACAATGACTTGGATTCACTTTGCATCGTCTTCTTGAGGCAAATCCCACTGGGCAGCACCTTTGGTATCTGATTGTTTGTTTTCTAAGAACTCTCTAGCATGTTGACATTTGCAGAATTTCAATATACCAAATTAACCCGCCTCAAACACGCCACTGCCATTCCTTTTGAACTCACCCCATGGTCGTTTTGGCGGTTCACAGGTATGAGAAACAGCAGGAACCAAAACATTTAGGGCCGTGACAAGAACATGTTCTTAAAACTGTCGTTGTTTTCTCGTGTAGAACAGGTTTTCCTTTTTTGTGGAACACCCGGTGAGAAGTGATAAGCTGCCCACAAGTTGCACAAAAAAAAGTGTTGGGAGCATGAACTTTGTTCCCCAAGTTAAAAGTTTCAGCCGAGAAGAACATCAAACAGCCATGTATCGTATACCGTACACCGCCCTTCTCTCCGCCCAATACGGTTAATTGTTTCCACCGACCCATCCGAGCCGCTGGTCATCGACGTTGAAACCGCACTGTCGCAACAGGGTCTCCTTTTGAGGTTTAAGCGACTCGTCGTTGGCTGTGAGGATCAACACCTGTTGCGTTCAAGACATGCCGCAACAGCCGATGATTCGCAGGAGGACATGGGGATAACACATGTCGAAGGCGAGCACATTTCCTCTCACACTCGCACAAAATGAAAAGTTAATACAACTTGTTTGTGTATATATATATATATGCATAACATTCTCTGGTTGCATAACATTCTATGAAGACCTGATCTCCTTGCCCCATATTTGTCTATGTTTCGCAAGTCTGGGCAACCGCTCACCTGTGTGTGAAACAATACCCCCGATACACCCGGACAAAAGGCATGACAAATATGTGGAAAACATTGAACAATTGAGCAACTTCCAACTGACACAATCGATTCATCTGGGTTTGCTTGATTGTGAGGACCTCCTACCTGGTATCATAGAAGTATGTAGAGCTGCCTTGGTTTGCTTGACGGTGGAATATAGAAAAACTGGAAATATGTCGTTTGGTCGACATCTTCTACTTTGGTTCCTCTATTTTTTTCGTTTAAGGCCTTTCTACCGTTCCCACCAACGCAGCCACCTACTGCGAACACCTTAAGCCATTTCCGACCTCATCACCTCAAAGCCAGGTGGTTCTGTGAGAATCGACGTTTGTGGGCACCACATGGTCGCACCGTTGCCACAGATTTGGTCGATTTGCTGTCCAACAACGCCGACTCCGATCGCCTTGTCGTACTTGTCGAAGGCCACAGAGATCATCGGGCATTGCATCATCGAACTCATGAAGACCGGCACCGATGCGATTTGACCTCAAAGGTGGTGTGGCCACCAACGCCACCCTGGCCCTTGTTAACATCGTGAAGTAGGATAGGCTACTTCATCAGGACTTGTGGCATCAAGGGGCAACCTAACCTGCTTTATAAACTCTCAGTTTCGTTGACACATATTGTATATATATATATGCGTGTCGTCAGGGGATTTGCCTGCACCCCCCTCCGGGGGTATGATTTGAACAACATGTGGGAACATGTAAGTTACATGTTTGTTGGGGGTGGGGGGTGGCCAACAATGTAACTTACATGTTGGGTCCCCCCCAAATTTTCATGGTTAAAGGGGTGGTTATAGTTTTGAATATGTTTGGATGGTTCCCACTCTACGCTTTACTTTGTCATCACTATAGTTGAAACATGTTGCATTGATATGTTTTGCGCTGTGTAAAATGGCTTTTGTTGTTGCAGAACACAGAAACGGCTCTGGTATCTCTGATCTTTTCCGTGCCACTCGTGGTTGGTGAACCTTGAGACCTGCTTGCCACGACCAGACCAAGCCCTACGTCGTGCTTTTGACTGCCAGCAACAGTGAGCTGTCAGCTGTCTTGCACCAGCCATGGCTACAAACTTCAATGTAGTCAGGATGTGAGTGCAGCCTGAGTCAACACAAAAAGCCTTGCGCAAATTGCTCCAAGCGACTGGCAAGCGGCTGGAAGGCCATCATAAACCCACAATCACCTTGGTCCGGCGAAGCAAAGGCACGCTGCGTATGTGAGGGTATACGCTGGGTCCATTGCTGCAACAGTCCCCAGATACCCCCAGCCAGCCCCATGATGTCTGCAAGCTCGCTTGATGCACTTGCAGCCATGGGGTGCAAGCAAAGCTGCCAACGGCAATGCTCCTTGTCCTTCTCACAACAACACAAAATCACATTGGCGCGCCAGAATTCTTCTTGGAATGATATGCATCCTCCTGGCACCCAGTCACACCTGTCTTCTGTCAACTGTGTTTTAATCCTCGAAGAAAGCACGGCAAACGTTCCACTAGAATTGGAATGGGAGGCAAACGATCGGCTGCGTGCACCGGGAGACGATCGGCTGCCCAGCTCAGAAGAACAATTCTGCGCAATCTGGAGGTTCATCTTGTTTGGGTCGAGATGGTTCATAGTAGCCCATGGAGTGTTTTTGTTCTGCGATCAAGTCTAGAGTCTAGAAAACAACAACAAACCCAAGATCTCTGCAGTGCGGGCACAAGTGGTCTTGAAAGAACCTAAGCACAAAACATAACCACCCAAGTGACAACCAGCTGCCAAGTGACAAACATCCAGCCATTACTAGAATGCTTGTCTGACAGGATGGTATATCGACAACATGTTGCAAGCTTGAAAGCCTGCCTGACCGGTGAAATATGGGGACCGGAAGGGTCGTGTCGTGACTTCAAGCGCCTTCGTCGCGCCACCCCGGCTTCCCCACCTGCCCCGGTGAACTCAATCCGTTCCCAAGTGGCCAGTAATGCCTGCGACCCCACGACCCTCCAACCACTTCACAGCATCGATGAACTCCTCAGGGTTTGTTCTTTTTTTGCGCAAAACGAGTGAGGAGGAGTAGCAGTACTGCAAGCAGCATTAGTAGCAAAGGCGCAGCGATAGCAGCCTAGTAGCTATTAAATATATATACACTATCTAAAGAAGAACTTGCAATAGCAAATGACAAGTGATTGGTGACCGTCTTGCTATATACATTGTGTAAGAACCTCATGGCTCTTGTTGTTAGCTGCTGCTGTTGTGGCCGTTCATCTATATAATGTGCTTGGAATAACATAAGGGCTATTATTTAATAGAGGTGATCCAAAAGGTACATGCTGTTCATGTCTTTTGCGTCGCCCCCGCCTGCTCCACATCCGGTGACATTTGCCCCGTCATGGCCATGGCGAAGGTAAAGCCAGGAACCACACGGAAGAGAACGTCATACTCATAGCCTCAAGGTGGACTCGGATGGACTATCATGGCATGGTCATGGCGCACCCATATGGGTCTTCGCTGGCGGAACAGCCGTGGCCAAGACTTACAATTCAGTTGTAACTCAGATTGCAAACTAGATTGATCAACAATCATCATGAAGTATTACTTGGACAGCTCTTTTCCACCATTAACATAGTATAAGACTCATGAGATTTCTCCGTTCTTTATTCCACTGTTCCGACTGGACCCCTTGCGCACAAACATCCTCAGTTGCGAGAACTCAACGACGGGTCCATGGAGTTGGCGAGAACGCCAGTATTGAATGGTGGCGGCACAAAAAAAGAACGGTCTCTAGTTACTGCCGTGGTGATACATTCTGCATCTTTTTCATTGTTAGAACACCTTTAGAAACTGCATAAGCGCACCACTGACATGATCAAATGCATTTATGGTAGGAACAAGCAGCTCCTGCGGATCGACTGCACATGGAAAACACCAACACTGACTGACCTACGCACCAACTGGTGGGAAACAACAGTCTCTTCAACCAGCTTGAACGGCAGTCAGACGTGGAACTGAATGAGTTTGAACTCATGACGACTGACTGATCTATTCGATCTGTTGTATTCATCCGCCTGAAAACTTAGGAATAACTTACAATTAGTTTGTACTCAGGTTGCAAACTAGATTGATAACAACAAACATCAAATCATGATCGAAGTAGGATCGGATTTGGGATTTTTTAGCCGGTATCAATTTCCCACATCATACTTTTGGGTGGCAACAATCTTCAAATTGGTTTGAGAATGAATGTAGTTGGTTTGTCGGCAGCAACCCGGCAAGTCCCACTATCCATAACATAATGGTCGGCCTATGACATAATTTTGTGAGAAGTTGCTGGACAACCATGGAGTGATTGACACATCTCTCAAAATATCAAAATCAGGGAGAGATGGTGAAAGATTCTTCAGCTCCAACACCCTACTACGTATCCGAAGATCCATATTAGGGTGCGTATTTAGATCGGGAGACCCACAACCAATGGGTATTTTTGGCCTTTAATAGTTTCTCGCACAAATGTCTCTGTGCAGTGCTTGCCCTCAGCCAAGCGTAAGGCAAACACAAACGACGCCTCGACGCACAAGAGGTCTCCACGGCGCGTCTCTGGATTGAAAGTAGGATGACGCCCCACATGGAAATATGTCCACAAACAATCGCAAATGGTCTTGTGGTTCGGAACATTCATGAAAGCAGAACATATAAGTGGTAGCACTCAGGTAGCCTAATCGTTTCAAGCCACCTCTGTGACACATGAAGTCACACCTGTGCTGACCCTCAATCATCCAGTTGAAACTTTGCACAACCGCTCTCAAGTGCATACACAAGTCTGCAGGAGCTTCATCACCCAACACGGATTCATCCCGCATAGGGTAAGCACAAGGTCGCTCCTTTGTCTTCTTCTTTTAATTCCGAAAGTAAACCAGCACCATCAACTTGGTCTCACTACCGGTATTGAATGGCTTCGGTCTAGTTCCCCTCTTCCAGGTTCAAACTCGGAGGTCACCCTTTTTGATACACATACGTATATTACTGTATATTCATATATTCATATATTCCAGTACACGTATATTCCAGTAATATTACTATAATATATATATCACTATATTCATCTATTCACGCCCATCTCTTTTCCACTTCCGATTCGTTCCCTCACCCTGTCCGGGAACTGCCAGGGCAGTCGATGTCGCCCTTGGCCGGGGGGTAGTTGTAGTCCAAGCGGATCACGCCCAGAATTGGCGCCTCCATCGAGCTAATGCGGATCAGCTCACCCCTGCTCACCCGGGACCCAGGGGGAAACAACAGCTACATGATTTCTGGGTCTTTCTGGGTCCCTCCTTCTCCAGTGAACATGCCGGTGGTTGATGAGGGCTCAATGTCCTGCAAACTGCAGTGTTACACTCATTTGTTTCCTGTTCGGCCAGGCCTCTTGTATGTGGTGTCTCCACAGTTGAGTACACTACAATCCCCATGGATCCACATACCCTCTGAGGTATGGTGATTGAAGACACTGTTATCATGTAGCTTTGGAGGGTTCAGTTGTACCTTCTGAGGTTCCATACAACTGGATCGCTACTAGGGAATGAATGGAGATTACTTGAGACGGCCGGGCCGATGTCTGTCTCGGGCCGCCCGGGCCGTCAGACTGGTCTGCCAACCACGATCGATCGTACGTCTCTGCCAAGCACGATCGACGCAGCAAATGTCTATGAACAGGACAATTCGATCATATGCAGTCGTGGAAACACAGTTCATAACACAATGCAATAATTTGATCCCATGCAGGTAGAATCATACAGAATGATGACACGTGCTCCATCGTGACATGCTCCGGCTGCACCAGCCAAAAAAGAAAGCACAACCATACACAACCCATGTTTTTGTTGCTTGTTTTTGTTGTCTATGGTTTGGTCATTTTCCCATGCCCTCCGCTCCCCGAACAGTTCGCGCTGCTCTTCACAATAGCCGACACAATAGCGGCGGGTCCACCGCGGCAAACACCCGGCCTGCTGTCGTCGGATCCGCCTGGAAGCCTTCTGCTGCTCCTGAGGTCACTGTTTCTGATCTCAAAGGATCCAGCCCACCGGCGGATCAGGGATGCTGTTTGAGCTGACTTTCAACGTGACGTTGGTCGAGAATCGTGCGGCCAATGCAATAGCTGCAATATGCTGCAATGCATATGAATGAGTGATGCTAATGCTAAAGACAAAGAACTGCAGGTCGAGTCTATACAGGTCTCATGTCTTCCACGAGTCTACAGGGGAAGAGCAGGTGGGTGCATTTGTACTTCTTGGGAGCAAAGGGTAGCAAGTGATCTTGGTGTCATGCAATACCGGTGCTTCTTAAAGCGGAAAGTGATCATGCCCTTGGCCTGACCAAGTCAGTTTGACCTCATGTCACTGGGTCTCTTCTCCTGCAAAACTACATTTACTCGGTCAAGGACCAGGCTTTACTTGGTTCGACAGGACTGGTAGGGTTGTTTCATATCCGCTGTGACTGGAATTGTATGTATACACATATGATTGTGCTGTACATTGAGCCCTCAAACAACCTAATATCGGTAAATATGAGTTTATATATATGTATATGCCATGCATGCATTCATGGATCATCTGCGAATCACACCGTCAGACGGTGTCTCAGAAGGCCGTCGGAACGGAACGTGCCATCACCAACTTGGACTCACCCCGAACGTTCTGAAGGCGATACTGACACGACGGATTGAGAGAATGGATGCGTTCCAGGAATCTCTGTGGTCTGTTGCGAACTTCTAGGAATTTCCTCTTGAATCACCTGTCAAAATGTCCCCCAAATGCTCCCACATCGCTGGGGGCCTGGTTTCTCTGATACAAAAAGAAAACAAAGGCTCCAGAATAGTCAACTTGAAAAACAAAAGACAAACGATATTAGACCAAATATTGGCCAAATACATCAGCCGAGGAACTTTGCCTTCTTGCGCCTCAGATTTCTTCTCTCTGGTCTCCTTGGCCTTGTTCACCACCAGCTCCATTTCATCCTTCCTCAACGGAGCGGAAAGAACATCTTTGTGTTGACCAACCCATGTCCTCCCAGTTGGTCGAGGAAAGCACATCACGTGGCATCTCTTTGGCAAGGTATGGGGAAAACGGGACCCAGTGCAATAACCACCCAAGAAACAGTAAACAAATGTAAACAAAGATACAAAAGGTTTGTGCAATACTCGGCCAGCATGCTAAACAGCCACAGGCTTGCTGCGAGCTCTTCTCCCTACATGCCAAGCCGCGTGAGATTCATGCCCAGTTCGTAGTCTTCTTGCGAGCCATCCCATTCCTTGGCGCCACGACGGACCCATGACGGACCCGACGACAGACCCGCGATGGCCGCAAGGGTTTGGTTGGGAAGACCCACGAGCTGGACGGCTATAGTTGTCTTTGGTTGCCTTTTTGGAGCTCACCAGCTGTTTTGAGGACACATCGCTCGCGATGTCTTGGTGGCCGTGCCCGATCTAAATGTAGACTCTTGATTCAGATGACCTCCCAAACATGAATTCTTCAGACGGGAGTTGAAACATATATATTCAATCAACATTCTGCAAGCAGTATCAAAGTGATGACCTCACCCACACGCCCTGGTTCAGAGACCCACACGGAACCTGAAAACCACTGTACCAGTAGAGGAAGATGGTCTTCGAATGGCTTCCAAGGTCCGTCATCAGGTTCCATGTGGGTCTCTTCCCGGGTGCATCATTTTCCCACCACAATTTAATCCTTCCTCTGTTCCATGAACTCTCAGCTGGATCTACATGGCCGTGCCTTTCACAAACATCCCTGGCATTGACTTAAAGGAACATCTACAGGAAACCCATAGTTTTCAAGTTTCGAGGTGAAAAGAAACAGAGTTTCCTGTAGATTCCGTAGATGTTCCCGGAAAAGAAACAACAACAAACATCCTCAAACCAATTCTGGGAAAGGCCCTAAGTCAGCTCAGACCGAAGACCTTCGCTCTTTGGAAACCTCACCGGTGACCGCACCTGAAATCGATCCCCAACCCGGACCACGACCCAGACCCTGACGGAAGCTGCCACCAATTCTGAACAATATGTTTATTATAGATTATAATCACAGTATATGTATATTAATTCTATTTCTAGAATATTCGGAATATTACGATACCTCCAGTATATTGTTCTAAGAATTATTCGATAATACCTCGATGAACCTCTATAATATATATATATATATTTGCCTCTCCAATTATGAACAACATCTCCGGGCGACTCGTTGCCAATCCTGAAGCCCAAAGCGTGGGAAGTCCTGGAAGGCGGTCACGTAGAAGTCCGCCGCCGTGATGGCATCCTCGGCGTTCGGCGCTCATGGGTGGGGCCCGGTGGGGCGCTGAGTGGATTATTTGGGGGGACATGCAAGTTAGACCTGAGGGATGAATCTTCAAGTTGTGAGCTATTCCAAGGTGTTGCGTGGGTCCCTTACGCGTTTTGTCTTCATTTTGTTCAAGAACAATCCTTGACTGACCTTGTTTTCATGACCAAATTTTTTTGTTTCCAACTGCCTAGGTTCGGCCCCACGTGTTAGATTGGGTGGATCAACTTTACTTTATCTGCCAACATCCTTCGCAAGGAAAACATCTACCAAGCGGACATTTTAACCAACCTGGATTGATTGGCTGCTGCGGTCTTGCCCAACTCGAAGCTTACTTACTCTCAAACCTGCTAGAACAATGACCTGGGGAATCCTCAAACATTGCCACCAAAGAGGCAAACATGTTGAATTGACTACAGGATGACCGTCTGACCATATCATCCGGACTCATCTTCCAGCCTCTAACCTAACAGGTTATCCATGTGACCCACGTGCCACATAGACCCGAGCATCCCATACTGGCAGTCCGGTAAAGTAGCGCAGTGCATCAGCATAGGGTGGAAGCTCTGTACACTCCTCGGGCCGAACCGAGTTTCGGGCATGGTCCACAATGGTTTTGGACCGTTTCAGCACCTTCTCCGCGGAAGATGCTGCTGAAAGTGGAGATGCTTCCCCATGTTGGCCAGGACCGGAACCACATGTTGCTGACACGGTCAGCTTCATTGTAGCCACTCTGCCGATGGATCTTGGCAGGAGTTTGATCACCAGGAATCACCAGGATCCATAGAGTAATATAGTAGACTATAACGGCATGTAATGGTAAGATTCATATTTAATGTGTCCGTTTGCCAAAGCTTTGTCGGGCCTCTTCCCAATGCATCTCCCCAAAGCAAATATGCTAGGATGCACCACAAGCCACCTATCAAACAACCTGTTACGATCATCATCAAAGTCAACAAATCAATCTCAGAGTTTCTTCTGTTTACAGCTTCATCACCCTTCCCTCCCCAGCCGCGGCTGGACAACTCAGTACCCTGTCTCAGGCACTAGAAGGATCGCGCGGATCTGTGGTTTTTGCTCCAAGATCTCCTGGCGGCTCCCAGCCGCAGCAACGTGTTGCAAAGGAAGCCGGGCTTTGGAAACCCTCCCAAGGAACAGAAGCGACACTGACTCTGCATGGAAGTGGAACATGGGCCCGAAAGGAAGACTACCTTTTCGATAGAAACAGGGGGAGGAATCCCACTTTCATGTGAGTCGGAGTGCACCCAGAAACCAGGTCCCCGATCGCCGATGATCCGACCTGAGACTATCACAGACCCTGAGCGACCTATGGAAGCATTCCATCTATTCCTCCACAAAGCAGTGGTTTTTTGGGTTTGGAACCACAGGTGGCATGGAAGTCTATTTAAGAGCGTGGCAAGTAACTAGTCACTTGTCAAATTGTTGTTGGAAGATAGGCGTCTAATTTGCGTAGGCAAACATTACAAACATGGATGATCAATCCAAGGCCTAACATCCCGCTTCGATGATCCTGTTGATGACCAAAGCATGTCCATTCTCTACATTCTCTACCAACAAGCTTGGTACCCTCCGCAGGCCAATGTCCCATGGTTTCCTGCGGGTATTGCAGGGTTTGACATGGTTTGACCCATCCCCAAAAATGGTTTGTGGCTTCTCGTGCGGAGTTTTATGACTGTTGTGCATTTGTTCGTCTTGCTTGGCCCTAAGGCTGCAAGACTGGTGACTGATCTTCGGACATCGCATGATGTGTCTTCGACTCCGAATGGGATCTGAAGAGGGGAGCTCAAGACCTAGCAGACCCAGCACCTGCCACGTGAAAAATGTGTGCCCATCTTGATTCTTGGTGACCTCTGGGTCAACTTTGGCCTTGCAAGCATGTTTTGCATGTGTTGCATCACGAGTAGTTTGGACAAACTTAACAACTGGTCATCATACATTGACTCATTTCTCCCATTTTGGGTCTTCGTTTTCAATACCCAAGCAACCTCTTGAAGACAAAGGCTTGGCCAATCAGCGAATTTGTCATTTCTCCGGAGGGGGGCTTCCTGGTCGTGTTGTCCCTACGAGTAAACACCTCATTGTCACTCACCCCTTGCCCGCCAAAGCAAGCGAACCAAGTCAAGCCACCTGTACCAGCTTGACGATGCCTGGTTGCACGGTCTCCAAAGGCACCTGCGGTCTCGGTGATGGAAGGGTATGAGAATCCGTGGGGGGAGGGTGGTTCAATCGGCACCCGCAACTGGTGACCGGCCACAGAAGAGTCTGCCGAGCCAATGTGAGCCAAACAGCCACATGAATAACCTATGATGATCATGATCTTCATTCAAGAACAAACTACATATAATCAAAACTAACATATACCAAAATCATATCATCTAAGAACCATGCTAAGGGCCCATGCCCGCATGCCCGACCACAAATCCACATGTCCCGTGCCTTCTGGCCCAAAGCGACCGCCTCGAAACCTGGGACATCTTGGCAGCCGTGGATGTGGAAGCGGTCCTGGCCGTTTCTCGATTCTGGTCCCATTGAAATGAGCGAAGAATCGAATGAAGTCCAGCTTCCAAGTCCTGGCCTGAGCCTGAAGCTTCGAATGGACAAAGTCACTAGATGAGGATCTAGGCACGCACTTGCACATAATTTGATATTTAGCAACATGTTCACAGTTCACATGACTAGGTCACTTTACCTAGAGTGTTCGGTTTCTGGGGTACTTGACGCATCTTGATCAGAACAAAAACATGCTTCATTGAATTTTTCAGGTTGTCCTTGAATCATTGACTAGAACCCAAAGCCCAAAGATCCAGGGGTCTATTTTAATAGGGTTACACCGACACCATCCGGCACCCAACCAATGGGTTTGGAATGGGTTTAGGTCTCCCTATTTCAATCCACACGAAAGTACTGAAATATACAGAAATGCCCAAAGCAGGACTTTGTGTTGCAATACCATGAAATGCATCTGTGAAATGATTTCCATAGACCTCCGGGAGTCTTGGGTGTTGTTCATGTCTGGCGAAAACGGCCGCGCCTGGGTCACGTCGAAGCCACAACTCGTCAGGAGGATCTCCTTCCTCCGTCCCAACGGGTGGTGAGGTTGTTTTCGATGAGGGGAGGAGGACCGGACGCATGGCACCGTAGGAAAAGAACCCACACCTGAAGTGGTGTGTTGAAAGGTAGTTTCACTTTGTTGCCGTTGAAGTGATGCCACAAAGCAAGCGAACTGCTTGGCACCAAATGGTCAGGTTCAAAACAGCCGAAACGAGCACTCGACGAGCGCTCCACGAGGGGAGGGCTTGGTTGATGGGATAACGGAAACGGCATAGCCAAATGTTTACAGTAATCAAAACGAAAAAAAAAAACAAACATGCAAAGTTGGTGGTGAATAGTTCGGCCTAGTTCGGCCCTTTGAGTTTCCAAAGAACAGGTTGTTTAAACTCAATCACTGTTCTGCTTCTGTCCTCTTCTTTCGATGTTTTTTGTTCCTTGAGGAGCTCCTGCTACAATGCAAAAAATTATCTATAAATTAGAGCAATCTTTAGACGTCCTAACCTCCCTGAAATTATAATGGAAGTGAAAAACCACCAGTTTGTAGAGGAGAATCGTCGTCCCAAGGGCCATGCCATCCAGGTAACCATGATGATTTCTTTGAGTATATCAGGTGCAAACGGTGTCTTTCAGGAGGCCCCTAACGGCCTAACGGTCCACCGGGATCGACTGGGAAACTATGACCACATGGACCCTCCATCTCAGGGCATGAAGGAACAAGTGTCACTCAAGTTCTTGCGGCCTCAAAACGAAAAACAACAAATTCAAGCGTTTTTCACCGATCCAACTTCCTTCTTCCAGCCGTCGCCCACCTCCGGTCGCGCGCGCGCGATAAGGCTTCGGTGGACCCTCTCCGCCGTCGACCCTCTTCGGCCGACCCGTTCGGGCGTCTGTGGCTTGAGGGACTTGTCGTTCGCCGTGAGGATGAGAACATCATCATCTCAGCGAGGGGGTCGTGTGGACGGAGTCGGGAGACTGGTGTGGTATCCTTCGGGGTCGGTGGAGGTGTTGGAGGTCGTGCACCGAAAACATCGCTTCCAAGCAAATCGAATGGTTCACATGTTGACAAATGTGTAGTAATTTGCTGCTATATGCTTTTCAGGTGGTGGATCTGGAACCATCTTAAGCCAGAAAAAACCAATGATTACATCGAATTACTGCAGTGCCCCCTTTCCATAATGCAAACCTACATATGCGGCATATGCGTCCACTTACCCTCCATGGTGCAACTCATATCCAGGCACATGTGACAGGTTTTCGGAGTCATCGTCTGTTTGCAATGTCTGTGCTTATATATAACCGCGTCCAATTTGGAAGCCTTCGGGCTTTTTCGCGCCTCCACATCCAACACACCATGTTTCAAGGGGCAAAACGTTTCTCCATCGGGGGGACCTTCGGAACGAGGGGCCAGGGTCCAAGGAGGCTGCGATGATGGGGCATTGCACCATGGAGGACATGAAGATCGGCTTCTTGGCAATTTTCCTGCAGAAAGGCAGGTTGAAGGAAGTGTACTTGGCATCTTCCAACTAATTAAGCAGAGCTGACTCAAATGTTCCCAGATGCAGCTGGAAGACGACCTTCCTCTACGGGTTTTCCACCAGGCCAAAAGAGGTGATTGTCAGTATGTTGACTGGGAGAGTTTGGTAGCCTGAAAGGAGAAAACCAAAAGAGGAAGAAAAAAACGCCGTATACCTTCACCACGCAGTGTTAAGATTTGCAGGTGGAATCCGGTGCATCTATTTTTATCGCACATTGCACCAGACTGCAATGTGACAATGGACCTGGGTTCAGCATGGTTCAGCTAGAGACAGTGTCCTTCTGACAACGGCACATAGGGGGACTGACCAGGAATCAAACGGAAGTGGGTGTACTACTAACCGTTAGTTGCCAAAGAATATACAGTACAACAAACCACTATTAAAGGGGTGTCTCGGTTCATTTACAAGCAGCAAAAGCTTTTAAGTTTACGAAGTTACAATTAATATAATCGCACATTCTTGTGAGTCCTAGCAAAAACCATTATAGACCCCATGATGTGTTCTGCACTTCTGGTAGTTTTCATGACTCCAGAATATCAGGCCCGGCCAGCTGGCAGCAAGGGGGGGTTCACCAGCAGGGACCTCAAAAGGCTTTATGTTGAGAGTTCCGCCCACATTTCGCCTGGCAAGAACCTGGAAGGCCATCATAAAGCCACAGTCTCCAGTGATGGCCGACACACCACGGGCCTGGCGCAATCTTGGGCAATACCACACCACATCTCGGTGATACAATCGCTGAACCCTCTTTGACTTTCCCCTTTCGAAACTGAACTTCTACATTGTCGAGGTACTGATGGCAAAGTGCTTAAACAGTCCTAGAAATGTAACATACATATCAATACCATATAGATACTCTATATATATATATATATCGATCGACAATCGATCGATGTTACTATGTTACTATACATGGATCTTGTCGACACAATAGGAGACCATTGACACAATTGTTCACACATCTTCCATTGACACACTAGATCGATTCTTCACCAATTCTTAAGAGACCATTGACCAGTCGGACATCGATCTCTGGCTCCCGAGCTGTGGAACAGGTTCACCCTTTCCAGCTGTCGGGGATGGGGAACTCCCTGTGGATCCCCCCCGAAGGGCTCCGAGTTTATAAAGGAAAATATCAGTCGCTCCTGAGCAAAAGCTGGGTTGATGGTCAAACGAAAACAACTCTTTTTGGACACCAGAGACGGCCTCCAAGTGTTTGATGGCATCTGCAAAGCGCCTTTCCACCATCTCCGTGAAGGCGCCCGACTGCGCGGCTTGAGCTCGGCCATGTTCCGAAAATGGAGGGTGTTTTGGGGTCAACAAAGTGATGAGAGGAATTACCTTGAATGTTGTTTGTTGTCCTTTGCTTGCTTGGGTTGATAGATTATGGTTAGTTGTTGAGTTCTCCTTAGAAAATAAAAACTATCTTTTGTCCGTCTTTCTTTTTTGTTCCTTGTAAACAGTTTAAAAATTACAAATATTGTTAAACACATAATATACTCAGTATACTCTTAAATGCACCTAATCTCCTGCTCAAGCGTCCATAGCACATTAGCACTACCCCCCCTATTTGGGCCGTTTCTGTCAGTTCTCCACTCCTGGCACATCTCAAAGGTCAGCCCGGGCACGCAGCGGTAGAAGACGTCGTAGCCAAAGCTTCCTGAGCGACCCGCAGGGTGCTTTCGCCTTCTCCGTGGCGTGGCGCGGGGCGCCGAATTGACCAACGATTTCTACGACCTTGTTCTGCTGGAGGAGCGAGGACAGCTTATAAGGAGGTCCCCTCCTACCTCATCGGCCTCACTGAGATGGGATCGCTCTCACCAATCGCACGCTGTCTGGATCTCCTTCCTTCCGATGAACAAAAGAAACAAAACATGACAAAACGCTGCATTTCTTGGAGAATAGAACAACTTACCTGCCCCGTGGGGTCTTTTTCTGGATGAGACTGAGAAATGGGCCTATGGGGCAGTCTCACACAAGATGGATGATATCAGGCGCGTCAGGTCCCCCCAGGTGGTAACTATAGTAGCGTCAATGCTGCGGTGATCTTGGGATTCATAAATATGCTAAACAGTCATAAGTTAAGTTCTTAGCTCCTCCCATCCAACCTCTTTGGAATCTTAATTTCTTCAATGAATCATCATCATCATCATCATCATCATCATCATCATCTCGTCTACCGCGCACCTGGATTCGCGCCCATGCCGTGGCTTCCAGCGCTGACACTGCTGAGCCAGGGTTCCGGGGCAATCCGAGTCCCCAGGCGCTGGCGGATAGTCATAGTCCAAGCGCACCACGCCCAGCGACGGGTGTCTCAGAAGCCGCTGAGATTCCCGGATTCGGGTGAGCTATCCGAAAAAGAAAAAACCAAAGAGACGGGTATCTACGGTATAGTCAATACACTCACTGAAATCATCGGCCAACGCGGATGGTATGGCCCGCGATTTCGGATGCACGTCCATGACCTGTTGGGTTCCCAGTCGGTGACCTCGGGCCGCCCGACCGAAGCCACTCAACCGAAGCCGACTCAGAACTACTTTTTGAACAGAAGAGCTTTTTGAACAGAAGAGTGAACAAATAGATTAAGATAATGATGACACTTGCAGTGGCTGGTGCAGTAAGCTTTACATGCAACAAGTGGTCAACTTTGCAGGGTGCCCACTAGCATGTTCCACCTGTCAAATTGTCGAAACGTGCGGCCAATGCATAAAAACACGAGACCCTCCCCAAACATCCTAACATAAGGCAAACATACACCAACGCGCATTCATTGGGGCCTCTCCCTATTTGAGCCACACACCCATATGAACAAGGCAAACAGAAGGCACGTTGAGATGGTCCCAGGCACTTGACGATCGCACTCTTGTTTTCCTGCTTTCGCATGGCATTCAACAGGTCCTCGTGGGCTTTAAGAAGCTCAGCCTCAGGGAGATGAAACAAAATGACTCCCAAAAGCTGCAAGATTTGCCCTCTAAAAGACATGGACATTGAGCATCCCACTTTCATGATGTTCCGGGTAAAAGGTATATAATCGTCTGACTGATTAGAAGTCAACTCTCTAGTAGGTAACTGTATATATATATATATGGGATCATATGATCATATGTAATTATTATTGATAATTCTTGCAGAAGTTTGTTGATTCATATATTGTCGTTCATCCCTTGTTTATTTCTTGTTGGATTTGAAGAGGGTCCATTTCTATGTTGAGCTACAAATAGAAGGTTGGCATTTGGCAGGTGCTATATAATAGTGGTGGTTGCTTACTCATCGACCAAACTGTGTGAGCACCTCGCAAACCCAGTGCTCTCCAGCTGACTAGCCCAGTTCTCTCCAGCTCCTTCAGTACAAACACCATAGGCTTAGTCGATCCAAAGCGTCTCCTTGACCCATTCTCCTCGACATTAAAATACACCACCCAGCACCAGCACCGCATCTATCTCCTATATCCATCTCTACCCTGGGCAAAAGTACGTAAAAATATGTGGGTTTTTCTGCCACTAGGACTGAGTTATGAAAGTGTGGAAAACCCAACATCGTCTTCACCCAACCACTCCACAAATCTTCCCTCCCCTGCTGAACCAGCCTGTTTTTCTCCATACACGGACCACCCGCTGGCGAATGATCTCGGCACGAAAGGATCTTTCACAGAGCACGCAGGTCGCGCGGCTAAGGCCGTAACATGCTCCTGTTTGAGCTGCCGATGTGAGTGCACCAACTCCTTGTGAAGGCTCTGCAGTTCCTGGCGTAAATGGCGTATGCCATCTCTGAGCTTCGGTTGGCATCAGTGAGCGGCATCGGAAGGAATCCTCCACCAAAAGAGAGAAACAAAAAAAAGGCACTACAGTAACTGTCAGTTGGATCATAAAACAGTTCCTTCTAGCATATTGAAGCATCAATAATTGTTCTGTCACCCCGGAAATCTCAGCTTGAAGCTTGACCATCTTGACAAGACCTTTCCAACGAAAGATGCACCTCAAAGTCTTCTTCCGTCATGGTTTCCTCCGCTGCTTCGGCCGCAGTCTCGACGGCTGGGGGCGGCCTCAAGTGGCGTGGCACTGCTGCGAACGACCGTGGAGGAAGATCAACTCCCGGACTGTTGCTCTTCTGGGAATGAAATGAGCCCCTCACTATAGGTCATTTGTTCACTACTAAGCACCAGTCAAACCATCAATGAACTTGAGAGAGTGGATAGGTCCGAGAAACCTCTAGATTGGTATGGTTGCAGTTGTCAGAAGAATACAGTAGATATAATATAAGAATAAAATTGTCTAACTAATTGTCTATATACATGAACACACTCATGAATTATATACTTATATATATATACTTGGTGCGGGAATCCACCTGATGTGAGAATCATAGGATAAATACGCTGGCAATCTAGCCACGCAAGCATCGAAATATCTTTATTCAGAAGATTTATTGCCATCATTTCAAGATCACATGCTACCTCAACACCAATGTTGAACCCTGCTGATAAGTTTCAACAGCCCTGAGCTCCCCAAAGCAAAACCGTTGAGATAATTCCACACAAAGACTCTTGACCTGATGCACAACAGCTCACTGAAACACTGCCAGCTTTGAGTATGCTGTCTATCCGACATGCACAAGCACAAGTCAAAAGTTATACCACCAAACACATGTAATTTGTTCTGCATCAAATCATAGCATGTTGTGTCTATCATGTCCCCGATCCAGTGACTGTTCAAGTATGAACCATTCATGTCTATGTAAACTGCAGACACAACATATGTATATAGTTACATTATTACGCTGAGTGTATGCACAAAACGTACAATACAGTTGCATCTTAAATACATTTTAAAAACACAAAAACATGTCCACCATAAGGCAATAACAAAAAACAGAACGTGCTCCACTGTCCTTACAACCCACTTCACCCAACAAATTTCCAACAATCTCCGTCGCGACGCATCGCCCCGGACGTCGGCTTGGGAGGCATGGGCGGCAACACATTGCCACGTGGGGTCTGCTGCGTTGAGCTGATCCGCGGCGTTTGGCTCAAAGCCCTCCTGGGACCACCGACACCGCCAGTGCCGCAACCCGGCGTGCGAGCACCGGCGGTGAAGCGTGTAGTTGCAGCAGGGGCATGAACAGTCAGTTGGTGGGCCACCTGTTCTCAAGGTGTTTCTATTATCCACCGGAAGAGTTGTTTCCTCCTGTTCTCAGGTCAAATGATGTGTCTGTCTGGGTGTTGAACAAAAATGAACATCTCTTCTTGTTCGCTACTAGGAACAAGTGCATCGCTACTAGTAACAAGTGCCTTACTAGTAGTAACAAGAAGCTACTAGAAACAAGTGCCTTACTACTAGTAACTAAAAGAATTTAATTAGAATTGTAATTACTAGCCTGTCTCTAGGTCCGGATCCACTGTCTCTGGGTCTCGTCTCGGGTCTCGGCATCCCCGTTTCAGCCCGAGGGTCTGATGGGCTCGGAGGCGCTGAACCTCGAACTCCAGCAAGTCCAAGCGGTTATCCTCGGGCAGAAGCAAGACAGAAGACGTCTGCGCCAGAGCCAGAGCAGGCAGTCTGGAGTCACCAACAACAACACGCAAGATCACGTGCATGTGCATAACATGCATTAAAAAACACATAAAAGGTGCTTCCTAGCCACGGGATCTACAGTGACCCAGTGCATGACAGGGGATTTGGTTGGATTTAGGGGATCTGGGCAGAGCCAAGGAAAAAACTTTTGGATGAGAAAGTTCTTTTCCGCAAGAGGGCTTCCTAACCATCTTACACCTGGTTGACCTTCCTCGGTCCACTGTTGACAGAAGTCCAGTACAGAAACTAGAAACGATAAAGTCAGTCTCCTCTCCAAGGACTCCCATCAGCAAAAATTAGAGCTGCTCCAAACAGAAAAAACTACGTGGTTTCTCCGGCCACATTCCATGAAGCACTGCCAGTTCACCACATGCTTTCTTTTATGTACCTTTTAAAGTGCGAGTGGATCTTAATCAGCGAAGTTTGAAGCTATCACTGACGGTCCATAAGCGGCGTAGCGTCGGAACGGAAACCGCACCTTTTCTAGTCGCTTGATCCTTGAGCCAAAGTACATATGGTACATATATATGTACAAGTTGCACTGTACGTGTCGCTGCACTTCCATTCGCATAAAGAAAGCTTTTATTAAAAGGCACTACAGGAGCTTCGAACTAGATAAGCCTTCTCAGCCAGGCGTCTAAAGGGAACATGGCGGCGACAGGAGCCTCTTAAAACGAGAGGGCAAAGGTGCCAAGGACCCCTCAAATCAGCCTGAAATCGCACGTTCTGAATGTGTAGGGCCAAACATGTGCTAACGTGAGGTCATGAAAAAACAATTTTTGATTGTATATAGTAAAACACATTATTTCTGGGCACACCAAACCTTCAAACAACTATTCTTGTGCGTTGTTGATCCTAATTTGATAGTCAGGGTGGCCCCAAAACCAATGGCATCAAGTACACGCTGGAGAAAGGTTCGGCAACTACAAAGCTAAGGCTGAACTCTTCACACCTCCAAAGATTGGGTGGGAATGAGGCATATTATTGTAAGCTGACAAATGGCTGCCGCAAACCGCCGGACGCAAAGACTCATCATGCAGATTGCCAGTATACCTCTCCCACGCCGAGAAACCAAGCTAATTTACACAAACAACAAAAACATCAGACAAAACGGCTGAAGCACTGTGCACCTTTTCGATACTTGGCTCTGGAAAAAGAAACTTGCTTGAGACCTGGAACCCTTCAAAACGATGGTCTTGAAGTTTACGAAGTATACAACTGCTTCACTTGGATCTGCTTGAAGTATACAACCTGAAAAGGTAAAAACACAGAAGTGGATTCAAAAAGGGAAAAGAACACATGAACCCTACGGACCAGGGTCACCGGTACACCTGGCCAGACCGGTCGGAGTTTCTGAAGAAAGCACCGACCGGTCTGTTTCTTTCGTTGGATCGGACGTCGAGTTGGAGCACGGTGAACACTGAGAAGAGCCGGTGAAAAGCACCGGCTGTAAACGGCTTGGCTGGGAGTTTTGGAGGGATTGACTGTAGCACCTGAGAAGCCACTTAGGGTCCTGGCAACAAGTCCTCTATCACTTTGAATTGGATCCAACAAGCAGTTCTGCAAAACACCACGAAGTATGGATCACACTCACCAAGAAGATCCATACTTCACCAGAGAATGGTTTGTTCCACCACCAACTTCACCAGATTCCCACCGCGCTCCATTCGCCCATCCGCACGCCGCCGCCGCGGTGCTGCCCGAGGACCCACCACCGACCGTCGATTCCGCACCTTCTCAAGGCGCGCGTCGCCGAAAAGCCCGAGCCGATGGCCACCTAGCCCGGGCGGATCCGAGCCGCGTCGCCGGCATCGCTACCCCGATCCATCCTCCGACTTGAGCAATCAGGAAGCTGACCAGGGGAACAACTGGCTGACTATAGGAACAAGGGCATTACTACTAGTAGCTATAGAAGCTACGCTACTGAGAAGTGACTCAAGAAAGACACAGTTTGAGGCCACTGGTGAGGGGAGGCCTTGTGCGAAGTAGCTCCTTGTGACAAAAATACCGGGGTCCAGGATCAGTGGTTTTGTATTGCTTGGGATCTGGTGCAGGAGTTTTGAGGTGCAACTTGGATAGAATACTTCTGTTTAGCGCATTTTAGCGCCATGCTCTGTACCACCGTGAAAGAACACTTTGAGAATGGTTTTAAGCACACACAAACACACAAACGTCACACACGTCCCACATGCAAAGGTGACAAAACCTTCGCACTGCCGCGACACCGCCGACACACGCGGCCCTTCTGGCCTCCTCAGCCCTTCGCGCGGCCTCTGGACAAAGAAAGTGACTGAGTCTCGGCCGGAACTCGTCGCCCAAACCCTGATTCTGCTACAGTACGTGGGCAGTGGGACACTTTTGGGGGTAGGTTTGGTACGGTATGTAGACCACACGGGCTTCAAACTCAACACAAATACACCAAACAGCGAAGTCGTGACTGAACAGCGAAGTCGTGAACATGGTATGAGGCGGCCTTGATAGATGGTAGATGCGGCCTGGACACTTTAGGTGCACAGTGTCACAGAGGTCTAAGAAGAACTCGAAGAAACTCTGCAGCAAACATGCTTACGATTGCTGACTGCTGTCTAGATGTATGCTTCACACAGGGCACAGGGAGTTGTCGCACAGGGGACTTTGCCCATGAACCTCTGATATACCAACCGAATCCAGTGAAGTTTTGAACCTGCCTAGGTAAGCTTGTGATTAATATGTAAACAAACAATAATATATACAGTATATGTTGAAGGGTAGCATGAACGGTTTATCAATCTGATATGATACTTAAACAAAAAACCCAGTCAACTATGTTTCCCACAGTCCACTGTTGGGATTGCTGCTTGATTGCAACCTGCATAAAAGACACCCAATATTGACAAAAAAGCACAATTACCAACTGTTGCTTCCAAAAGCACTCCCAAGAGCTTGTTCAGAAAGTCAATACAACTCACATAAGCAAATACAACTCCTACCCAGCAACTCGTCGAAGTGTTTTTAATGGCCACGTCCAGCGTACGCCATGTGCAACGTGCACCATGAGGAAAGGAGGATGGTCATTTTGTTTGATGAGGGTTTTGTGCACCCTTCGGTGCCGGAAAGGGGCAAACTGTTTACACTCCCTGAAATCATCATGGTTACGTGGATACCAGTGGATACCATGGCCCTTTGGAAGATTAAATACCTTCCTCTACAAGGGTGGTTGTGCACTTCCATGAGTCTTATTTCAAGGATTGTAAGATTGTATGTTTTGCAAAGGTCCAAAAATCACCAGAACTGCTTTCCAACATGAACCCATTAATATATAATATATGAACCCCCTAAAAAATCTCAGTCAACATACAGCCAAGAACCCTAACCAAGAATAAAAGGCACATAAAAGGCACAAGCTCTCCCCGATTTGCCCGGGAGTTGACGCTCTGCCCGCGTGGTCGCTTCCCTGCCGCTGGCGCCTCCTGTGTTTTCGGGGAGGCTCTCACCAAGCCAATATACCCACCATGTGTTTGCTTCATGATTTGCTTTCAACACATACAATCTCAAATAGTGATGTTGCCATTTTGTATAAACTCCTTAGCACGGACTTTTGGGAATTCCAAGTTCCAGCCCACCTTCGGCTTGGAGGATGTTCTTATGAACACAGGCGGACTGCCTCCTGAGCCTCCTTCTGAGCTTCGGCTTTGCGTTGCTCCTGAGCGGCACAATACAAAAAATGTCAATGTGCGGATGACTGTCAAACAGAACGACCCGAAGACCACCAATCTGGATCAAGTCTTTTTGTTGATAGCTACTGGGTCGTCCGGACCCTGGTGGTGCAGCTAGAGGAACACTCTCACACTCAGGGTGGGTCACGGTGCCCCTGAGACCAAGCGATGAGACCAAGAACGCACCAGCTTGGTCAAACACCGTGATGAGTCAGAAACCCAGATCCTGAGGCCATTGGAGATCTCAAAAATATCAAATGGCTTATTGATGCTTGTTGATCTTTGATTGCAAGCCTCTGATCTTCAATTTCAAGAGAATTGGCCTTTCAATTTGGCCAAGCGGAAAGTGTGTGCATGCAAAAGTTTCCTCTTTCTCCTGCACGGCCACTCTGACGCAGGTCCACAACTCAAGCAAATCACCTCTAAGGTCCAGAAAGTCATCATGTGCAGTGTTAAACACTATCGGTCGAATGGTCTGCATTTGCCTGTAAAAATCTACCACTGCCTCATGTCCCTCCCATTTCTTGGGTCCTCAAATGCACGGCACGTAAGGTACACTCAAGCCACAGTTTGACTCCATGATGTCAGTTTTACCAATATTAGCCTGACTACCTCTTTGCGGGCACCACATGGTCTCATAATGTTTGGGCAAGGCTTTGGGCAAAGCTCTTCGGTCAGGGTCTTTGGCTCCTCTTCCAAGCGCCTCTCTTCTTCCTCACGCCTCTCACGCTCCTCTCGCTGCATTGCGGCCTGGCGTCTTGCCTCAGCAAAACCGTTGAAGAGGTGGGTGTGGGCCAATTGTACCACCTTGCAGTGATCCAAATTCCTGCCGAACTGTTCATCGATTTATTGTACCACCGATCCTGCACCGGTCGAAAACGACAACCAAGTGGATTCAAGCGAGACACCTGTCCTCCTTATTCATCGATTCATTTTCTCCCGCTGATCAAGGCATATGTTACCAACTGGGGTGAAAACAAAATGGTCATGAGTCTCAGGCCTCAGGTCTATGACACCGGAGCTGGCCCCCTGTATGCAGTTAGACTGCATGTTTCTCGATAGGGTTTAACGGTTTTATAGAGTGTAGGCAGGTCAGAAAGCATGTTGATGTGCTGAACGTCTGGCATTGTCTGACTCTATCAACGCGGAAGCTATGTGTTGTGTGCGGCAGGGACATTTCAAAGGGAATCCCGCACAAGGTTGACAGGGTGGCCCAGTTTTGCGGATGTCCGCGAAGATTGATGTGAGTCAAACTGGTCCAACCTGGTCGAGAAAGCTTCAACTGGTCAAACTTGACGTGGCCGCTTCTCACATCTTCAAATCGGCCACCAACTTCACACATCAACAGTAACCTCAGGTCTCTCAGTAAGGAAGTGAGGAAGTGCTCAGGTCGCGCTGGAGCTATGTTTGTTGGGATCTTTGGGTTTAGCACAGAAAGATGGCAACGTCACCCAGATCGGATATGCAGCAACGCAGCAACTTGACTCCATGCCCCAAACGACTGATCATTACGACTGAAGATAGGCAACTTCCAAAACCAAGAGGTGATCGTTGTCTTCACTTTGACAAGAGGTTTACAAATATGTTCATCTAAGCTACTGAGTGAGCCCAACTATTCAACAATTTCACTACTACACAAGCGCGTCTGGTTATCTGTGTTTCTTTGAGGGAAAATAAGGAAATCAACTCGTAAACACAATCACCCGATCGAGAATCCTACAAAACCACTGCTCCAAGGCCCAATCTGGTATAATCTGTTGTTTGTCAATCAAAAACCAGCAAAGCTGCCTTTCTTTGGGGCTGCCCACAGTGAGACGCACAATAGAAACACACAAAATCAGAAAAACTCTGCTTTGATTTGGTTTTTAGGAGGTTGGTCGACACGTCCACAAAAAACAACATGAATTCATACCTGGAGAACATCTGGAGAACATACACGTGTATACATGGTTCAG